TTTATATACAAGGTTATATTGGTATAGGTTCATTAACATGAGTAGATAGATTACTTTCATCTAAAATCAATTTTTTGCAATTTAACATGAATAAGTCATAGTGCACCAAAAGCATCAAATATTTTCTTCAATGAGCAGCAGGTATACACAATATTATGGTAGAAATGAAGTATTTTTAATTGAAAACTGAAATATTTATAAGAAAAAGCATGTATATTTTTCACCTCAATATAGAAATCCTCGGATGTAACAGGGCAGCAAAGTAATCCTTATAGGTTGAAGGAGACAATGGCTCTTCAGAACATTAGGCACACTGTCTTTCTTGATCAAATCTTCAATATCATTGGGAATCAGTAATTTGGTGACGTGCCCTTCGGAACCCTCATATATATAGCTTTTGTATGCTGATTTCTGAATTAAAGGGGAGTGCAGACAGAGTTGGTTAGAAAGTGGAGTTGTCTTCAGGGGGGATGAAGGCAGCTTAGAGGGAAGATTGGGATAAAATCACATGAAGACGGAGATGCTTTAGTTGGAACCACATACATTATCTTTTGTATGCTGATTCTTGAATCAAAGGGAGTGCAGACACGAGTTGGTTAGAAGGTGGAGTTTGTCTCAGGGAGGATGGAGGCAGCTCAGAGGAAGATTGGGATAAATCACACGAAGATGGAGATGCTTTAGTCGGAAGCCACATACATTTATCTTTGTATGCTGATTTCTTGAATCAAATGGGAGTGCAGATAGAGTTGGCTTAGAAGGGGGAGGTGTCTTCAGGGAGGATGGAGGCAGCTCAGAGGAAGATTGGGGTAAATCACATGAAGACGGAGATGCTTTAGGAGAGATGGAGATTGCTTCAGTGAACATGGAACGGCTCAGCAGATGATAAAGGATGACCAAAAGTAAACGGAGGTGCTTCAGGTGAAGATAGGAATGTCCAAGAGAAGATGGTGGGGATTATGGACGAAGAAGATGCAGAAGAAGTTATTGAAGGTTTAGTCAGCGTTGGGATGATGTGGAACAGCTATAGTGAAGATAGTGACGGCTTAGAGAAGACAACGGGGGGTTAGAGAATGATAATGACTTTGTAGTAGATGAAGAGGCTTTGGTGGCGAAGAAAGTGGTTTAGACGAATGTGATGTGGAAGTAGAGATGATGATAGGTCCAGAAGAAGCTGATTCAGCTGATGAGTTTCTTTGGAAGTTTCATCATCTCCATCATTTTTATCTTTTGCATTGCGACCAAATACAAATCCCAATATTTCAAGAATACAGACATATGTTCTGCAATCAAAAGAGAGGAATTATGCATCATAACATTCCATCATACAATCATCCCCACAGTTTTAGTTTTATAAAAATGAAAATCTTTACTCCACTAAGACATAATCCCCTAAAGTTTTATTAACAGTAACTTATAAACTTTAATGAAAGGAACATTACTAATTTATGACTCAATAGACAACAGAAGATTGAACTCTGCAAAATATGTCTATCGAAGGGAAGAAGATGAAGACTGACCTGCCTGACCTGATGGGATCAATTGTTTGGCCCCAATGCAGGTGGTGTGCTTATTCCCTTTACACTACTGCCACAAACCTTGTCCTTTTAGGAAGGTCTTCATTTTGACAGCCTATGTGATATTGTTCACCATTGTAGACTGAAGAGTAAGGGAAGCCGTGTGTTGTGCCATTGGAATCAGTTATTTGGAATTTGACAGAAAATTTCACCGAACAGAGGTTGAGGAGTTGGATAGAGGAGATGAGTGTATCAGGCCCTTAGATCAAAAGTGCTCTGATACCAAGTGTTGTTTACTGGAGAGTGATGAAGAAAAGATATTAAGCAAAAGAGAAAGATACGGCAGCATGAATATGTGCTCTGCTTTCAATTCATAATACAGGGAAATAGATACACAAACCAGTCCACTGTTACACCTAAGCAGGAATTTTACAAATTTGAATTTGAACCAATTACATTCAACTAATACAAGATCAGATAATTCAAATACACCACTTAACCACTGCAGGTTTCAACTAAACCTGTCCCAAATTACATATAAAATACAACAAAGCAGCAACTTCAACTACGCAATCAGAACAGACAAGACTTAAGAGAATGACAGAAAGCTTATTCATCTGATTATTTGCCCTGAGAGTCGGAGTTGAGGATACTGATGAAAATTGATCAAAAATATGTATGTGTTGTGCTCACGAAGTCTTTCAAAAATGACCTCTTAATCGTTCTTTCTAGCAATATCTGACGGACCCAACGAATAGTTCCCTGGAGCGCCAGTGACTATCACGGACGTGGACTGTTAGCCAAATTGCTGAGAGTATAAGTGTCTCTTTTCAGTAGCCGATGATGCATCAACAAGAAAAATATAGACTAAAATGTCCAGCAGTAATGCCTTCATCACGCAGCCGAAGCTACTTACAAAAGTTGAGAATATGACCGGAATTCCTCAATTTCTGAACTGAAGGACAAGAAAAGCACTCTCTGTAAAGACACAAGGGAGGATATCGTCCGTACCCATCTCTCTCTAAATGCACGCATTGGCCCGAAACATATCTGACTCTGGAATCTTCTCCATCAAAATGTCATTAGTACATCACAAGTTTTGTTATAGGAGCACATATGAGAATTCGATTTTAAGTGAGCTGGAAAAATTGGAGTACTGCTTCTCGAACACAATTCCAGTTTTTGATAGTTGTCTGTCAGTTATGAAAGTGGACCTTGTTGTCGTCGGTACTGAAAGTGGACCCTCTAAAAGATAAGGTGGTGAGCCTTGAAAGTTTAAGATCTGATGAACTGCTAGAATTGATCCGAATCAAGATAATTGTAGCGTTTAAAATAGACTTGTGATTCAGGGTCATTTTTCGGGAGCACGATCAGGAAAAAGATAGTTGTGGAACAAAGGATCAGATGCAGCCGCAATTGCTTGGTGAGCCCTTCAAACACACTCTGTTGAATGAGAAGCTAATATCATATTTGCGGTCTGAATGATGCTGAGAATAAAAATCTTCTTCCAATTCAACTAGCACAATGTTGCTCTTCACCACACGATAAATTAATCCCTGCTCCAAATTAGACAACAATAGTAATCTGAAAGTGATTAAGAATGAAACCAGAAAATACATTAGGAGGACACTTACTTGAAACTGCTTGACAGTGCTGCCTAAACGTCGTGCATAGACGAAGTCCCTGGCCAAAAGGAAGGGTCGTCTCTCCGGAACGGAATCAAACTCAAAGGCTACAAACATTTTATCTGTTTTTCATCATTCCCTTTCAAGTACTCTTTTTGGGTGGCTTGTTATATATTGTTGCTTTATGAAACTTCAATGTTACGTTGAACAACTTGAACTCGCTCCACTTCTGAACAAATTAAAGGGCCAATTAGAAAACAGGATGAAAGTCTAAAACTAATGATAACAGAGAGAGAGAGAGAGAGAAAATTATTAGTATAAAACAGCATATATGAATAGCGTCGTTCATGTATCACCCTAAGTAGAAATCCTCGGCGTATAGCAGGGCAGCAAAGTAATCCTTATAGTTGTGGAGACAATGGCTTCTTCAGAACGTCAGGCACAAGTCTTTCTTGATCAATTTCAATGTCCTTGGGAATCATATAATATGGATATGGGCCTTTGAATCACTGTATAATTAGCTTGAGCATGCTGATTTGTTGGACGAATGGGGAGTGCAGAGAGAGTTGGCTTAGAGGTGGAGGAGACCTGCCGGGAAGATGATTGTGATAAAGAGGTTGATCAGAAGATAAAGACTTCCCGAAAGAGGGTGATGAAGATGCTATAGAGGAAGAAGGTATCAGGTTTAGGGAATGGTGATGATTGTGCAACAGACTTGGGGGCTTTTGGAGCTAAGATAATGAATTAGAAGAAGTTGATGTGTGTTTAGCTGAAGATTGGGACACTTCGGGAGCCCTTCAGATTTGATTGAAGAGATGCAGCATTAGATTTTTGCAGTTGAGTTTCTGATTGATAAAATTAGGGTAATCTTCGTAGTAGGAATTATGGTGGATCAGATTGGCGTAGCAGATCATTGCAATTGGGGAAGAACTCACCTTCACGAAGTTTCAGAAGAAGCTGATTCAACTGTCCTTCCATTCTTAAAATGAATATCTTAATTAAGCTTAGCAATGTAATGTATTCTAAACTGATAGTTGTTTCTGAGTCGATAAGGTTGGTAAACCCTGACAGAGATTTCCATTTGAATCAAGGTGGTAAAAGGTAATCATATGTAAGAATATTCTTCTGGAATGAATGGAGGACCTGATGCAGCTGGCAGTTGCTGCAATTAGAGAAAGAGAAGTTGATATCATATTGTTAAGTTTCTAGGGTTTATGAAAAACCTAAACTTTGTGGTGAAAACTTAGTAACAAATCAACAATCAAACTCATGACATATAAAATAGAGACAAGTAGAGAACAAGACACAGCAAGATTATAGTGGTTCGGATTTACAGCCTACATCTACTCTCCAAGGCTCACTCTAGGGATTTTATTATCAATCAAGAATGTACAGTGATAAAGCTTTCATCAAAACATAAGGTAAAACATCAAACAAGGAAGGAACACACCGATTCAAGAAAACCCTAAATCTCTCAGCCCAAACTCTGCCCTTTCTCTCTGGACCAGCATGTGTTAAATACGCATGCTTTACTCCTGGATCATCAGCCATCTGTCCTTGATTCTCCATAACCGAAAGCTTGCTGGATCAATTCTAGAACTTTCTTTAAGGTGAGGAGCTGTCGCACCAAACAGGCTGTCGAGCCAAACAGAAATGAGAGAGGAAAGGAGGTTGTGTGAAAATGAGAAGACCTAATTAGATAAGTCATTAGGTTGGCCAAAAACGACGTTGCATAGGAAGTTTGACTAAAGAAACTTAAGCTGACTCCACCGTGGCAAATCAGGAGCCACGTCACCACAATTCTCCACCTTGGCTTCTTGATTTTGTCACCCAACCATGTGGCCTTAGAAATTTTACCAGTTCACTCTTGAACTTGAAGCAGACTCATATAGAGCCTGTGCTTCTCAAATGGGACAGATTTGGTGAACATGTCGGCAGGATTATGAGATCCATCAATTTTCTCAATCTCAATTTCTCCTCTTTCAATCATTTCCCTAATGAAATGAAGACGGACATCAATGTGTTTGGTTCTTTCATGGTAAACTTGGTTTTTACAAAGGTGGATTGCACTCTGACTGTCACTGTTAATCTTCACTGTCTGTTGCTCAATCCCCAGCTCACTGATCAGACCTTTCAACTAGGTGGCCTCCTTTGCTGCCTCAGTCAATGCAACATACTCTGATTCAGTTGAGGACAGGGTTACCATATGCTGTAATTTTGATTTCCAACTGACAGTGTTTCCTTACAAAGTAAAAACAAACCCAGATGTTGACGTTCTTTTGTCTAAATCCCCTGCATAATCTGCATCATTTAACCCCTCAACATACTCATCACAACTATGGTTTTTCTTAAAAACAATTCCAACTGATTTGGTTCCTTGTAAGTATCTCATAATCCATTTAAGAGCCATCCAGTGAGTCCTTCCTGGATTGCTCATGAACCTGCTAACCAAGCTTACAGCAAAACCTAAATCTGGTCTTGAACAAACCATCAAGTACATTAGGCTTCCCAGTGCACTAGCATAAGGTATCCCTGCCATTTCAAGCTTATCAGTTTCAGTTTGTGGACTCTGCTCGTGTGAAAGCTTCAGGTGAGCACCGAGAGGAGTCTGGACAGATTTAGCATCCAGCATGTTGAATTTCTTCAGAATTTTCTCAGTGTAGTCCTATTGGACTAACTTTAGACTTTCAGTAGCTCTGTTTCTGACAATAGAAACACCAAGAATTTTATGAGCTTGACCCAGCTCTTTCATTTCAAACTTGGTGTTCAACAGCTTCTTCAGTCGACACAGCTTAGATTTATCATGGCATGCCACAAGCATATCATCCATATACAATAGTAAAAAAATGTGTGTCAGTTCTGAAATTCTTTTATAGTAAAAACAGCTGTCAAAGTTACATCTATTAAACCCTATTTCTAGCATAAAAGAATCAAATTTCTTATACCACTGTCGTGGTGACTGTTTCAAACCATACAAAGATTTTTTTAAGTGACAAACTTTACCTGTATCACTGTTGTAACCTTCAGGCTGCTCCATTAGAATACTTTCTTCCAAATCCCCATGCAAGAAAGTTGTCTTCACATCAAGTTGTTCTAATTCCAGATTGAATTGAACTACTAGAGAAATCAGGACCCTAATGGATGTATGCTTGACTACGGGGGAAAAAATTTCATTATAGTCAACCCCCTCTACTTGTGTGAACCCTTTTGCAACTAACCTAGCCTTGTACCTAGCTGCATCTTGAGTTTTTAAACCTAGTTTCTTTTTGAAAATCCATTTACATTTTACCACCCTACAGTCTTCTGGTTTATCAACTAAAACCCATGTATGATTCTTCATAAGAGAATCAAATTCTTCCTTAATGGCTTTCTTCCATTCCAAATTTTCAGATCCAGAAACTGCTTCTTGGAATGTCTTAGGTTCATCATTCATCTCTTCCTCCACCTGAAGAGCATAAGCCACCAGATCTGCATATCCTAATATACTTGGAGGTTTGATTGTTCTCCTAATTATATCTCTTGATAATTGATAATCAGTCAAGTTTGAAGTATCTACCCCTGGAGTATTCTGTCCTACTTCATGATCACCAATTGGTTCTTCCTCATGAGTGTCTAATTCTTCAACTCCACCTTGATTCAAACGGGCTAAAACTGGAGTCAGTCACTTCTAGTTCTAAGTGTCTAGCTTCTGAATAAGAGTTCTCAGATTCATCAGGTTTGTTTCCTAAGCCAGGTAGGGTATTTTCTCTGAATATGGCATCTCTACTCACAATACACTTCTTAGTTTCTAAATTCCAGAACTTGTAGCCTTTAACCTCATCTGGATATCCTAAGAAAATGCATTTAGTGGCTCTAGGTTTTAACTTTTCATCCTTAGAATGGACATAGGCTAGACATCCAAAAATTCTAAGGTTTTCAAGGTTTACAGGATGACCAGTCCACCTTTCAAGTGGGACTCTAAAACCTATAGCCGATGAGGGTGTTCTGTTTATCAAGTAGACTGCAGTATGGGCTGCTTCTGCCCAGAACTTGACCGGAAGTTTGGAACAAGACAAGATACTTCTTACCCTTTCTAGAATAGTCCTATTCATCATTTCACAGAGTCCATTCTGTTGTGGAGTGTGTCTCACTGTCCTATGTCTAACTACCCCATTAATTCTACAGTAGTTATTGAACTCCTCATTAATGAATTCTAAACCATTATCAGTTCTTAGCTTTTTCAGTTTCTTTCCACTTTGTTTTTCAACCATGGTTTTCCATTCCTTAAATCTAGAAAAGGTCTCATCCTTAGTTTTAAGAAAATAAATCCAAACATGCCTAGAGTAGTCATCTACAATACTAAAGAAATACCTACACCCTCCAAGTGAATAATGCTTAGATGGTCCCCATAAATCAGAGTGCACATACTCAAGTGGTGAGCTTGAATAGTGCTGTCCAGTCCTAAACTTTACCCTGCACATTTTCCCAAATACACAGTGTTCACAAAATTTCATTTTCCCTGTTTTATCCCCACCTAGTAGGTTTTGTTTTCTGAGTTCACCTAAGCCCTTTTCACTAACATGGGCAAGCCTTCTATGCCACAAGGTAGTCTTATCTAGTTCCTTAGATGCCCCAATATTAGCTTCTCCACTATCAGTCCTACCTTTCAACACATACAGCCCATTTCTTTTTTCAGCCTTCATAATAACCAAAGACCCTTTTAAGACACTAAGACTCCCATTAGCAGCATTATAATTAAGACCTATAGAGTCTAAAGTTCCAAGAGAGATAAGGTTTCGTTTTAGGTCAGGGATATACCTAACATCAGTAAGTTTCTAAGTTAATCCACTATGGAGTTTCAGTTTAACAGATCTTATTCCCTTGATATGACAGACAACATTGTTTCCCATCATTACTTTCCCACCATCTAAAGGTTGAAATGAGCTAAACCACTCCCTATTAGGTGTCATATGATAGGTGCAACCAGTGTCTAGGATCCACTCATCCCTAGTACTGCCCTCTGAAATAACTAGGACCTCTGAACTCTCATATCCTTCAGATACTACCCCTGCACTGCCTCCATCATCCTCTTTCTCATATTTCTTCTTTTTTCTCTCAGGGCAGTCTCTCCTAAGATGACCCTCCTTATGACAGAAGAAACACTTCCATTTCCCAGGTTTGGACTTAGACCTATGTCTATTCTGACCTCCCTTTTTCCAATTCTTCTTTTCAGATCTTCCTCTTACTACAAGACCCTCACCATCACTCACATTCTTATCCCTAATTCTGTTTTCTGTATCCTTAGCAGAGATAGCTTCTAATACTTCTTCTAATTTCAGAGTCTGCCTACCATATTTCAAAGTCTCTACAAAGTTTGAATAAGTTTTAGGTAATGAATTTAACAAGATTACAGCTTGATCTTCATCACCTATTTCAATAGATATACTTTCTAAGTCTTGTATAATCTTAAGGAACTCATTCTTATTATCTTTTAGTGACTTTTGTTCATCCATCTTAAACCCAAACAAACTCTGTTTTAGAAATAACCTATTAGGTACAGTCTTAGACTGATAGAGTGAGTCTAACCTGCTCCATATCTCTGCAGCAGTCTTCTCTTTCTTGACTTCTCGAAGCACTTTATCGCCCAAGCCAAGAATCAGGGAACTTTTGGCCTTGTTCAGCATGTCTTGTTTTTCTGTGGTGGTTAACATATCAGGTAGTTCTTCTTCTCCTTTTAGAGCCAATGCCAAGCCTTCTTTAACCAACACTGCCTCCATCTTCATTTTCCATAAGCCGAAATCGTTTTCACCTGTAAACTTTTCCAACTCAAATTTAGTCGACATGTCTTTCTTACAGATCAGAAAAAACACTCAGTAATAGGAAAGAGATCAGTTTTAATGAAATCCTAAAACACGACTAAAGAGTAAAGAAACCCTAACTGGACCTTTAACCAAGCTCTGATACCAATTTGTTAAGATTCTAGGGTTAATGAATAACTGATTCAGTGATGAAAACTTAGTGACAGATCAACAATCAAACTCATGACAGATAAAATAGAGACAAGTAGAGAACGCGACACAGCAAGATTATAGTGGTTCGGCTTTACAGCCTACATCCACTCTCCAAGGCTCACACTAGGGATTTTATTATCAATCAAGAATGTACAGTGATAAAGCTTTCATCAGAACATAAGGTAAATCATCAAACAAGGAAAGAACACACCGATTAGAGAAAACCCTAACTAGCTCTGCCCAAACTCTGCCCTTTCTCTCTGGAAAAGCATGTGTTAAATACGCATGCTTTACTCCTGGATCATCAGCCATCTGTCCTTGATTCTCCATAACTGAAAGCTTGCTGGATCGATTCTAGAACTTTCTTCAAGGTGAGGAGTTGTCCTGCTAAACAGGCTGTCGAGCCAAACAGAAATGTGAGAGAAAGGAGGGCTGCTTGAAAAATGAGAAGACCTAATTAGATAAGTCTTTTAGGTTGGCCAAAACGACGTCGCATAATGGAAGTTTGACTTGAACACTTATGCTGACTTCCACCGTGGCAAATCAGGAGCCACGTCACCACACAACTTGATAATAAAATAATAGGGTTATTAGACTGTATGAAGATTTCTTTTGATCTTATAAATGAAAAATATTTTGGAAATGAGTTGGGAAACCTGGTTGCAGGGAGACATTAACCATATATTAACACAGCTATATAGCTTAAAATATAAACTGCACGAGGGCTTCTGCAATATTGTCCGAATATGTAGCATCTCTCTCTCAATCATGTTTCGATCAATGGAATATTATTGAAAAGGATTTATACCTGTATTAAATTTGTTGCACGAGTGGCTTCTGGAATTGTCTCCAATCTCCCATGTTGTTGTCTGCCACACATGTAATGTAACAACAAATTTCGTGCACTCGTGCACCAAATATTTAATTCCATAGTTTAATGTCTTCTCAAATATGGCGTAATGATATTGTGGTTTTAAGAGATTGAATTAGGATACGCAAGTGCGGTGAGCTGGGGTGGTGGGGAACATTGAGCAAACATCGGCACAGAAAATTGTTGGGATCGAACCAGGATCGTGTTAGGCTTCTCTTGAGATTTGAAGAGGAGATTCTGCATGTGCCCTCTCACATATGTAGTTGAACAATGCCAAGGGGGAAATTAAAGCAAATTTGTTAACCAATTTGAAAGAGAAATGGCTCCTTCACCTTTAACCCAAAATCCCATTCCATGCTCGCTCAAACACCTTGCCATCTAGATCGCACCCTCTTGTTTCAGATAGATGAGCATCTCTCCAGGTTGAGAACCACAAAAGCTACCTCTTCTTCAACAAGCAACGGCGTAATGCCCTTAGATTTGTTATTTAGTCAACAATAAGTGAGTTGCTTGATGTCTCTCAAGCTCATGGATGTGTGTACACCACCAATGCAGATCCATTTTACGAAGAAGAAGAAGAGAAACGATGATTCCACTCTATCAAACCAGGTTGGAGAGTACTTCAGCTCGCGGAAGAAGGCGAACAAAGCGGTTCACAAGTCGTTAAAACATTTGAAGGTTCAAGCATAGTCTTGGACAATGAAACTGTGGCCACAATCAGCCTGTTAGAGAGGTGGAAGAAGTTACCGTCATAGTTTTTGAGTCTCTTTT